GCAGCGGCTGCGGACACTGCAGCAGCAGCAGCAGCAGCAGCGGCGAGAGACGAGCTGTCACCCGCCGCCAGAGAGCAGCAGCAACGCGCCGGAAGCGGCCAGGCCGGCACTCGCAAGGCGGCAGCAGCGGCAGCAGCAGCAGCAAGAAGAACGCAAATCAAGTATGACGCTGCTGCAGAGGGAGCCACCAACCGCGTCGCGCTGCGCAGCAAACAGCAGCAGCAGCAGCAGCAGCAGCAGGAACAGCAGCAGAAACAGACGCCCAGCGAGAAGAAACCCAGCGCCAGCTCCGCAGCCACCAACTCTGCCTTGCGGAAATCTTGGCTGCAGAAGCAGCAGCAGCAGCAGCGCAGCAAACGGGGGCTCCTGGGCGACGACGGGGAAACAATTATTTTCATGAAGGAGCCAATAGGAACAGCAGCAACAGCAGCAGCAGCAAATGGTGCAGCTGCTGCTCCTTCTCCTCAAGACTCGCCGCTAGACTTCCGCAAGATGGCTGTAGATGCAGATGCAGCAGTGAACTGCCCCCAGAGTGAGCGGCTACAGCAGCAGCAGCAGCAGCAACAGCAGCAGCAGCAACAGCAGCAACAGATGCTGCTGCAAGACGAGCAGACGACTGCAGCAGCAGCAGCACAACTTCCTCCCCTCCTCAACGAGCTGCGAGTCCGGCGAATGAGCGGGTCCCCTTCCTCTCTGTACAGCAACGGAGGCCTCAGCAGCAGCAGCAGCAGCAGCAACAGCAGCAGCAGGCTGCGTTACAAAGCGGGAAGCTGCAGCGGTGTGGAAACGGACCCCACAAAGTGTCTGCTGCAGCAGCTGCTGCCCACTCCCGAGCAGCAACCTGCTGCTGAAGGTCCCTGCAGCAGCTCTCCTGCTGCAGCAGCAACTCCATTTGATATATCTCGTTTGCTGCGGCAAAACCTGCAGGGCGCAGACCTCAACTCCCTCAGCGCAGCAGAGTTGGAGGGTCTGCAGACCCAAGTCAGCGGTGAGCAGCAGGAGCAGCTGCTGCTGCTGCGTCTCGTGCTGCTGCTGCTGCGGCTTCTGCTGCTGCTGCTGCGTCTTCTGCCGCTGCTGCTTCTGCCTTCTGCCGCTGCTGCTTCTGCCTTCTGCTGCTGCTGCTGCTTCTATTGCTGCTGCTGCTGCTCCTTTCGCCTCCTCGCAGTGAACGTGCGAATTCGCCTCGACACGCGGCCTGCGGTGCTGTTGCCTCTGTTGCTGTTGCTGCTGCTGCTGCTGCTGTGGTAATGCAGGCCGCAGGCAGCACTACATGAAGCGGCTGCTGGAGCTGCTGCGAGGCAGAGCTGCGGAAGGCAGTGGGGCCCAGGGGCACCATGAGAGGCAGCAGGTGAGTGCCACAGCTGCGTCTTTTGCTGCTGCAGCTGCTGCTGCTGTTGCAGCAGCTGCGCCCACTGCTTACCTGGCCGGTTCCCTAGCAAGCTGACCTGCTGCTGGTGCCGCAGCGGCTGCTGCGCACGCTGCTTACAGTGGCCTGCAGCCGCCTCCGCTGCTGTTGCTGCTGCTGCTGTTGCTGCTGCTGCAGGACGAGCTGGTGTGCAGGCTGCACGAGGGCAATCCTTGCAGCCCCGAGTTTGCAGAATACGCGAGACAAAAGATGGAGCTGGAGTTCAAGCGGCTGCTGCGCATGCGGTGGGTGAAGGACCCTTTGGTGCAGCAAACGGGGAGGGGCTGCTGCGGCGCTCACGCTGCTGCTGCTGCTGCTGCTGTGGCTGCTGCAGGCACTGCTGGCTGCAAGCTGAAGAGCTTCGTCTGCTGCTGCGCTATCTCGAAGCCGCTGCGCAGCGAAGGTGGGCTTCGCTTCCTGAGCGCCATTGGCTGCACGCTTTGCTGCTGCTCCTGCGGGTCCACGCTCATCCCTGCTGCTGCTGCTGCTGCTGCTGCTCTGCTGCAGGGAAGAAGGGCCAGGCGGCGGAGGCCCTGAAGGGGGAGACAGCCACTTCGGCTCTCGCGGGCTACAGATTCGAGAGGGTGCGCCGAGTTCAAGTGTACATACACTTGGAGCTGCTGACTTAGCAGCAGCTCCCGTTGCAGAGCCAGCAGCAGCACCAGCTCCCGCTGCTGCTGCTGCAGCAGCAGCAGCAGCAGCCACCACGTCCAATACGGGCGAGCGCCGGCTGTCAAAATGGCTGGCTCAAGCTGCTGCAGCAGCACGCACACCCCGCTGGCTGTCCAGTATGTCTTCGTGCCCTAATTTTGCTGCTGCTGCTGCTGCTCTGGGGGCCTCCCCGGCTGTCCCAGTAGAGCTTGAGGAGGCGGGGGGGCCCGCAGGGGCCCCCTGCAAAGTGGAGGGGCCCCCGGGGGCCCCCTGTAGGCTCTCGTCCCCTACTTCAAGCGTGAGGGGCAAGAGGCCCCCCCCTTCAGGTGTAGAGACACCGCAGGGGGCCCCTGTGGGGTGGATGGGTCTTTCCCCGCTGCACTCTTTGGGCCCCCAGGGGCCCCTGCAGCTGGAGAGGGGACCCCGGGGGCCCCCCAAAGAGGGCATTGGGGGGCCCCTGTAGTGCGTGGCAAGCAGTTCCGTTTAGTTGCGTCGTTTCGAAATTGTTCCCCCTTTTGTATCTTTCATGCGCCAGCCAGAGGGTGCTGCATGCACTGCATGCGCTGCATGCACTGCATGCGCTGCATGCACTGCATGCACTGCATGCGCTGCATGCGCTGGAGTGTACGTACAGTCCAGGGGCACTCTGGCATGCAGGCTGGAGGCCCCAGTCCGGCGGGAAAGCTGCGAGGCGGGGCTTTTCTCAGTTTAGCTTTTGCTGCTGCCGTTTGTAGGGCTGCAGCAGTCTGCAGCGGGACGCTGTCCGTTGCTGCTGCTGCTGCTGCGAGGACAGCAGCAGCAGCAGCAGCAGCAACATGCGCATCATCTTTGCTGTGCGTACCCCTTGCAGACCCTACGCCGCAGCAGCCGCTGCAACGCCCACTGCTGCCAGACCAAGCCTCAGCAAGGACAGCAGCAGCAGCAGCAGCAGCAAACATGGACCAGACCTCCGAGGAGCGGACACGACCTGCCGCGCTCCACAGCGAGACGCGCCTCAAACAGCAGCAGCAGCAGCAGCAGCAGCAGCAGCAGGGGGAGCCGCGCCTTTCAGGGCTGCAGCTGCACGACTCGGAGTGCTTTATGGACATTGACGCTGCAGCAAGTTGAAGAGCTTTTAGAGCCTCCGTGACCACTGGTCTCTCCCTTTCATTTAATTCAATTTGCTTCTTTCTCTTTCTTTATCTTCGGATAAATCTCCGCTGCAGACACATCTAAGGGGGGCCCCCAAAGAGGGTTGCAGCTAGTTAGGGTATCAGGTGTGGGGCCCCTAGCGGGTTCGCCGTGAGCTGGGGGCCCCTAATGGCTGCCCTTTTGCTGCGGCAAACTTGTCAAGGGGGCCTCCCGGGGGCCCTCACGCCCCCGGGGGGGCCCCCAGGGGCCCCCCCGGGGATCCCCAGGACCCTCGGGGCCCCCCAGCAGGGCATTCTAGAACTGGCACTGAAAGCTAGCCCCTAAAGCAGCAGCGCAGCTGCAGCAAAAGACGTGCTGCTGTGTCACCGCGCTTAGAAAGTGCAGGCAGACGAGCTGCTGCTGCTGCTGTTCCTGCTGGCCCGAGGGGCCCCCAGGTATTCCCTCAGGGGCACAGGGGGGCCCCTTGGGGCCACCCAGACAACAGGGTCCTGTCCCCGGTTTTGTTGCTGTCTACTGCGTCAATTTTGTCACTATTGACTGGATGTTTATTAAGACTCTCTCCAGAATGCACAACAGGGGGCCCCCCCGCAGCAAAAGACCCAAAAGGGGGCCCCTGCTGCTGTCAGGGGGGCCCGTCCTGGGGGCCCCTACAGTTCTCAGGGGGGTCCCACACAGGGTTTCAGAGCTGGTGGGGCCCCCCTAGCCGCTGCAGGGGGCTCCCACAGCTGTTAGGGGGCCCCACCTAGGGCCTCAGGGCAACAGGGGCCCCTGCAGCTCCCAGGGGGCCCCCCACTCAGGGCCCCGGGGGAAAAGGGGCCCCTTGCTGTTTTGTGTATTTGCGTTTGTTCACTTCTTGCCCCTGCATGCACAGCAGCAGCAGCACACAGCAGCAGCTTGCTGCTGCTTTTTCTGCTGCTCACTGGCGCTGGAGGACCAGTGGACCTCCAGGCCCCGCCAAACAGACCACTGCCCGCCCGCAGTGCTGCTTCCAAAGGGCACAGACAGGTACGGGGCCCCCCGTAGCTGCTCGGGGGCCCCAGGCAGCTTTGGGGGGCCCCCCGAGGGGGCCCTCCAAAGATGACCG